GCAGACTAGGTTTTTATATTTGTATGGTTGTACTATGTATGGTTGCAGACTGGTTTTGTTCTGATGGTATGGTTGCAGACTGGGATTTGTTCTGTTTGTATGGTTGTACTCTGTTTGCATGGTTGCAGACTGGTTTTGTCCGCATGGTATGGTTGCAGACTGGGATTTGTTCTGTTTGTATGGTTGTACTCTGTTTGTATGGTTGCAGACTGGTTTTGTTCTGTTTGCATGGTTGTACTCTGTTTGTATGGTTTCAGACTGGGATTTGTTCTTTTTGTTATGGTTGTAGACTGGGATCTACTTTATTTCACTGGTTTCAATGAAGCATTTGTTTAATATCTGCCTTTCTGAATCTTGATGCTTTACATTATTATAGGATATTTTTAAGGCTTTAGACTGTTACAATGTTACTTTCTTTCTCAGTACTTCTATAATAGTAATAATAATAATTTATTGCAATCTAGGCTAGTGAGTTTCATTTTGTTCTTGTTTCCTGTTCCTAGGTTGGTGACATTGTTTTACAAGACCCTATGGTACATCATTATATATTACCTAGTTCCAACATGCTATTCAAATGGACAGAGCTGTTCTTTGGATTCTCCAGATCTGCTAGGGATTGTTAGCAATGGTGATCTCAACATCGGGGCTGTCTTACCCCTTCATGTGAATAAAGAGTACCCTAAAATCCTGTACACTAAAAGGCCGGGACCAATTCTCTGTAGAGTGTAAGATTTAACTTTGTCAATGTTGGTGAATTGTGAGAGAAAACAAAACTGTCTGTTGGTTGGAGTCAGTGACATCGTTAGGGAGATTTGCAAATATTCAAAATACAATCATTACCATAAATGCAAGGTAGACAAGCCACAATGGCCTGTTTATAAGGAAGTATTAAGGCTTTAAACTATGCAATGTGAACATCTTGGTATCATCAGAATTTCAACCAGTGGATAAAAATTTTACTAAATTGTTGGAAGAGATACAGTACATACAGCAAACAATATATAAAACTAAATTGTGTAGGGAGAGGTATTAGCAGAAGACAGAGGGAAGTGCTCATGTCATTGTCCTCACTTGGAGTATTGTACGCAGTACTGGAGACCATATCTCCAGAAGAATATTGATACTTTGGAGAGAGCTCAGAGAAGGGCTACTAAACTGGTTCATGGATTGCGGGATAAAACTTACCAGGAAAGGTTAAAGGATCTTCACATATATAGCTTGGAGGAAAGATAAGACAGGGGAAATGATAGAGGCATAGAAGGAAAACTACCACAACAAGAGGACGTGGTCTTGAATTAGAAAGGGGGGAAGACTTAAAAAGAATATCAGGATCTTTTACTTTACTGAGAGAGTAGTGGATGCATGGAATAGTCTTCCAGAGGAAGTGGCACAGGTTAACACAGTGAGGGAGTTTCAGCATGATTGGTAAAAGTTATTCTAGATATAAGAAAAGGCCAGGGACTAATGACAGAATTTAGAAAATTTGGCAGAATAGATGAGCCAAATGTTTATTATCTGCTGTCATATTCTATGTTTCTATATTCTATTAAAAATAAACACATATAGACTATCATCTCAGTTCAGGTAAAGTGGAAAAATAATACTGAAAAAGGGCATGAATTATTACCATTAGTTGTCCTGAATTTCCTATCCTTATTTAAAAAAAACACAGTAGTTCTGCACAGGGCCAGATTAAGAGCCCAGTGGGCCTGGTGCTGACAATTATGATGGGCCTAATTACAGAATCTTATCAACCAAAAATACTAAAACAGTCATACCTCCCAAGCGTCATGTATCTGATGGAGATGGTGTTGGAGGGAAACTCAAAGAATGCAGCTATAAGAATACACATACTCTATGCTAATCTCTTTATCTAATTTATGCTTTCATCTTTCAAGTAAATGGATACCCCCTAACAGCAGTGTCCAGTGAAGAAGGAAAACAAGGGGCGGGGTAAAAGGGTGAGCCACTGACGCGAATCACGTGACCAGAACTGCCAAAAGGGGCGAACATGCCCAAAAAGGGGGCATGTCTGTCCAAAGAATTGGACGCCCAGTCCCCTAGTCTTCCAGTGTCTCAGTGTCCTCATTTCTCCCCATTTTCTCCCCAGTGTTCCCATGTCTTTTAAGTATGACTTCATACGTTTCACTGAAGGCTGTAAAATAATGTCTAGGTATTCTGATAAATTGGATAGAATAGACTTAATCCCTGAGACAATAGGCCGTCCAGGAGGGTCAGCAATATTCTTATGATTTTTTGGTAAGAAGTATATAACAGGGATGATAGGATGGGATATATTCAAGTATTCAAATTCTTGTTTAGTTAGAATGTTTTGTTCACAACCCTTGGTTAAAAATGAAGTTAAAGCTTGTTGAATATTGGATGTCGTGTCGTGTATCAATTTTTCATAGACTGTACAGTCGTTCAGTTATTTGTATTTTTATACTTCTATCAAAAAATTTATAACATGTTCCATACTTAAATTCCACTGCAATTAATCATTCATTATTATTTATAATTTCTTACCATGTATTATAATATCCTTATATCTTTATTTTTTATACTTAACAAATTTACAATATGTCCCTACTATATTTATATAATGTATATTTTATTACTTTTGGTTTTATGTGAAAACAATTTATGTACACAACATTATGCTAAAGACAGGTGCTCAATACCAACTTCTTCCCCTTAGGATTTGATCTATTTTTCTGCCCATATATATAGTTCCCTTTGGAGGTATTCCCTTCTTTTACCTCCCCTTTTTATTTAAATTATGAGAGCCCCCCTCCCATCTTGAGACACATGCATTCCGCTTAGTTGGAACACATGCGTCTTACTCGTTCATCACGTGACGCGGAAGTAATCCCAGCCGCACGTCACGTGATTATGATGCATGCGTTCCACTAGGTTGGAACACATGCGTTCCACTTGAGCATCACGTGACGAGGAAGTAATTACACTCACGCGTCACGTGATCGCTCGTTTATCGCTTATTCTAGCTGTTTCAATGCTCGTTTTTATTTCATCTTTTAATATTTACATTATACCTTTTTGTACTACATAAAAAATGTTTTTAACCTCTGTTTCTGTTTTTTCAAAAATGTCAATATTTCAGTGACGTCATTTTGGCGGGAATTCTGAATTTTCATAGTATTAATGTATGTTATATAAACCCTTGTATGTCAGGTGTGCCCTCTTTCATAACTATCTACTTGAAGAAACGCGTCTAGATACTATTATTTTAAACTTATTTATTTATAATAAAGAATTTTATTTGGCATAAAATATTTTATTGCCATTTTTCTTTATATTATATATTTTTATTTTATTTTATTTATCTTATCCTCTGCACCTGACCTACATCTACAAGAATTTGAAAGAATCCAGGGGTGGGGATTGTACCACCTAAGCGCCTATATTGAGCAGTACAAGTCTGCTCTACACTATGTAAGTAATTTACTTTATACCATCACTTTTATATTACAAACAGAGAGCACTATATTTGTATTCTCTCAATTTTGGGTTAAACCAATTGGAACGCCGAACGTGGACTAGAAATCCTCCAATCAAAACACTACTCTACATATCCATGAGTGGGGATTATTCCACTTCATGCGCATAAATTGGAGCTAAGTTCTAGCTCCATAAAGTGTGAGTAGGACCATTTGCACTATTTCAATATCTATATTTTGACTGATATACTGTACCATTGGAGTTTCTTCTTTTTTCTGCTTCCCTTTTATATATACCTCATTGGACTCAAGCATACTACTGTGAAGTTTCAACTCCGTCTGATGTCCTAAGATCTGCTGTCTCTACAAGGAGAACTTACTACTACGAACTTTCGATAAGTGTTTTGGACTAATCTTTCACTTATCCTAAAATTTTAAAACCTATATTTTATATAATTTCTATATTTTATACATTATATATGGTTTACTATACATCTTAGGCGCACCCTTACCTTTTTTATTTTGCCTATTGTTAATCTCCATTTATACTGAGAAAAATATCTGCATTTGTATTGCCGGTATTACTGCAATACCAGCACGACCAGGCATCCCCAAATACCGGCTGTGCTGGTAAATTACCAAGAGTAGTGTGTAAAAAAACTTTTTTTTTTAAATGGGCCTATTCCATGTGCCTGGGCCTGGAGCTGCAGCTCCATCAGCCCCTATGTTAATACAGCCCTGCTTCTGCATGATGATAACATTGGCCAGAAAGGATATCATTGTGGCGGAACCAGCCTCGCCACTATGCACTGGAGAAGCCTGGTTGCCAGCCTCCTGCCATGTGACTATGGCCCCTGGGATGTATTGCCCTTTAAAGACATGATTTAGGCATAATGGATTTGTGTTGGGCTGCTGCTGGCCCTTTTAAGAACCATCTGGGGACATACTGTGGAGTTACTTGGTGGCCACCATTTCCTGTATCAGAAGCACATGGTGAGAACAATGGATGGCGGCCATTTTAACTCACAGACACTGTGTGGACTTTTCAACACGGTGCCATCTCGCCAGTATTTGTTGCACAGAGACATCGTGCGGTGGTTTTGGACTATACAGCAGGGGACACATTATACAGTGATTATTTTTTATTTAGCCTGTATATGTTCTGCAGAATCTGCATTAAACTGTATCTTCCAAAGTACTGAACAGATCTGGGTGAATTTTGGATGTGTGGTTCACCCAGATCCCCCAGTTCCAAGGATATATACTTTTATGGGGTTATTGCATGTTTTGGGGTCCCTGTGATGTGTTTTATGAAACTGTATTTCTCTGGCTGTGATAATTAGATTACCCATTGTGTTCAGTAATCATATCACAGCCAGAGGGGAGGATTTTGTGTGGGAGTGTCTGGGTGTATTGTATGGATTGATTGGCTGTTTTGTAACGCCCTGTGGGCTGTACTTTGTTTGTGGATTGGGAATAAAAGAGACTGTATGTGTCAGTACAGGGAGTTCCTGTTTTAACCCTCAAAGTGAAGTGTTGTCTCATTATTGGGGGAAGGATTCATTGTATGCTGTTCCAGTTTGACTGCTAGGAGAGTAAACCTATTCGTATGGTTCCTATTCAACTGTCTACAGCATTCATATGCTGGAGAGGATTCATATGCTTCTCCGGTTCGGTGGTTGTGGTGTCTGCTGCAGTGCTTGGAGTCCTCAGGAAGCGCTAGGAGCATCCTTTAACGGAGGTACCCAGTCGGGGTGCCAGGCGATCCGTTACATTGGTGGCAAGCGGTGGGATGGCGTCCTAGTGTGAGGTAAAGCAGCTCAGAGACACAGTTCGTTTGGAGTTACAATTTGAGGGCAACGCCAGTACCCGTACAACGCCCCTATCTACGAAGGAACTCAGAAAATGGAGGAGAAGTTGCAAGATAGATTGTATGGTTACGTATCCCTGAGGTCGGGAGCAGTGTCAGAGGAAGACATGTTGAGGTACAGAGAGAGTGCCAGAGCTGAATTGTGGGACGAAGCCCTAGAGGAAGTACAGTATTCGCGAGGGGATCGGCGCCACAGCAGAAGGCAGCGAATCCTGGCTCGAATGGCAGAGCGGATGCCCCTCCTGAGGAAAAAGACCGAAGAAGAGTGGGTGATTAGACTCGAGATTTTAGTGTATGCAGAACTGGCGCTCAACGACGCATACCAGGCGATACAGTGGTATGCAGCTCAGTGTGTCCCCGAGTTGGCAGAGTATGAGTTCCCAGAAGGCGGAGGTTACGCTGGCCCTGGCCTATTTTGGGACAATATTGACGATGAGGGCTTTGGGAAAGCTACTGACTCTCGTTTTTGGGACCTGTGTTACGACCGAGAAGATATGCTGGGGCTCCCTAGCGCTATTGACCTTGAGGCAGACATACAGTATTTGGTCACCAATGAATGGAACCTGGAGTGGGATTACCTGCGACTCATCAATGAGGCCCGGGAAGAGACAGCCGGTCCTCTTTCCCAACAGCAACCAGCGGTACCTGAGGTAGCGGACCTCCTAGACTGGTCCTGCAAGGGTCCCCAGCGGCAGTGTGTGTCCCAGGGAGCTGAAGGTGTCGTCCTTCCTCCCCAGCGGTAGTGTGTGTCCCAGGGAGCTGAAGGTGCCGTCCTTCCTCCCCAGCGGCAGTGTGAGCTACAGGGAGCCAAAGGTGTCGTCCTTCCTCCCCAGCGGCAGTGTGTACCCCAGGGAGCAGAAGGTGTTGTCCTTCCTCCCCCGCTGCAATGTGAGTCCCAGGGAGCCAAAGGTGTCGTCCTTCCTCCCCAGCGGCAGTGTGTACCCCAGGGAGCAGAAGGTGTTGTTCTTCCTCCCCAGCGGCAGTGTGTACCCCAGGGAGCTGAAGGTGTTGTTCTTCCTCCCCAGCGGCAGTGTGTACCCCAGGGAGCTGAAGGTGCCGTCCTTCCTCCCCAGCGGCAGTGTGTATCCCAGGGAGCTGAAGGTGTCTTCCTTCCTCCCCAGCGGCAGTGTGTGTCCCAGGGAGCTGAAGGTGTCGTCCTTCCTCCCCAGCGGCAGTGTGTACCCCAGGGAGCAGAAGGTGCTGTCCTTCCTCCCCAGCGGCAGTGTGTATCCCAGGGAGCTGAAGGTGCCGTCCTTCCTCCCCAGCGGCAGTGTGTACCCCAGGGAGCTGAAGGTGCCGTCCTTCCTCCCCAGCGGCAGTGTGAGTCCCAGGGAGCCAAAGGTGTCGTGCTTCTTCCCCAGCGGCAGTGTGTATCCCAGGGAGCTGAAGGTGTCATCCTTCCTCCCCAGCGGCAGTATGTATCCCAGGGAGCTGAAGGTGCCGTACTTCCTCCCCAGCGGCAGTGTGTCCTGCAGGAAGCGGAGACAGTCGGTCTTGCTCCCCAGCAGCAGGACAATATATTAAAAGGGGAGACAGTTGGTCCCCCTCTCCAACAGCAGAGAGTGTTCCAGGGAGAGGAACCAGTTATCACCTCTCCCCAGCAACAGGACAAATTATTGAAAGGGGAGACAGTTGGTCTCCCCCTTCAACAGCAGAGAGAGTGTCAGGGAGAGGAGCTTGTTATCCCCTCTCCCCAGCGGCTGAAAGTATGTATGGGAGAGGAGCTTGTTACCCCCTCTCCCCAGTGGAAGCTCAGCCCACCAAGGGGAGACAGTAATCTCCACAACAGTGCAGATGGGACAGTGGTCTCTGCACATGCACCACCGGGGGTAGGGACAGTCGGTCCTGTCCCCCAGCAGCAGGACTGTTTAGGCAAAGGGGAGACAGTCTGTCTCCCCCTCCAGCAACCAGGCTCCAACCAGACTACTCCCGTGGTAGTGCTGGCACCAGGACAGAGTACCGCTGGTCTCTGCCCACTCAGCAACCCACCCAGTACGCTTACCAGTCACCCACGCAGCCATGGTGAGGCACCTGGACACGGACAAAGTTCTCTCCTACCCAGGTGTAGTAGCCAGTTATTGTGGGTGGGCTGTATTACTGATTGTGTTTTGTGGGTGGGCTGCTGGACTAACAAGGGCACTGACCGGCTGGAGGTCAGATACCCTGTTAGTCTGATTGGTAAAGGGGAGAAGTGTGGCGGAACCAACCTCACCACTATGCACTGGAGAAGCCTGGTTGCCAGCCTCCTGCCATGTGACTATGGCCCCTGGGATGTATTGCCCTTTAAAGACATGATTTGGGCATAATGGATTTGTGTTGTGCTGCTGCTGGCCCTTTTAAGAACCATCTGGGGACATACTGTGGAGTTACTGGGTGGCCACCATTTCCTGTATCAGAAGCACATGGTGAGAATAATGGATGGCGGCCATTTTAACTCACAGACACTGTGTGGACTTTTCAACACGGTGCCATGTCGTCAGTATTTGTTGCACAGAGACATCGTGTGGTGGTTTTGGACTATACAGCAGGGGACACATTATACAGTGATTATTTTTTATTTAGCCTGTATATGTTCTGCAGAATCTGCATTAAACTGTATCTTCCAAAGTACTGAACGGATCTGGGTGAATTTTGGATATGTGGTTCACCCAGATCCCCCAGTTCTGTATTTCTCTGGCTGTGATAATTAGATTACCCATTGTGTTCAGTAATCATATCACAGCCAGAGGGGAGGATTTTGTGTGGGAGTGTCTGGGTGTATTGTATGGATTGATTGGCTGTTTATGTAACACCCTGTGGGCTGTACTATGTTTGTGGATTGGGAATAAAAGAGACTGTATGTGACAGTACAGGGAGTTCCTGTTTTAACCCTCAAAGTGAAGTGTCGTCTCATTATTGGGGGAAGGATTAATTGTACGCTGTTCCAGTTTGACTGCTAGGAGAGTAAACCTATTCGTATGGTTCCTATTCAACTGTCTACAGCATTCATATGCTGGAGAGGATTCATATGCTTCTCCGGTTCGGTGGTTGTGGTGTCTGCTGCAGTGCTTGGAGTCCTCAGGAAGCGCTAGGAGCATCCTTTAACGGAGGTACCCAGTCGGGGTGCCAGGCGATCCGTTACAATCATGATGCCAGAGAAGGAAAGAGAAATAGAGAGAATGTAATTATGTTGTATATCTTATCTATAAGCCTGTTTCATCAGGTCCTCATCAACCTATTGATCCTATGACAATTTGTAATTGCCTTATTTATTATTAAATGTTCCCCTTTTTATAATATTGTAAATTACTGCTGAAAAAGTTGGCGCTATATAAATGCCAAAAATAAATAGTAAATATCATCAGACAATTTCATACTGAGTTGCATAAGCACACCTTCATTGCTGATTCAAGTTCCAGGAATAGAGTTTACGCACCACAAGATTTCATAAATATAAGCTCAAAATAGATTAATGACGCCAGTGGTGAGACAGAATGGGTACATGGCCCATAATGTCACACCTTATCTATCATCCTGTTCACATACTCTTACCCACCTAGTCACCTACACCTACCAACCCACCCAGTGTGTCCCACCAATGATATATTCCAGTACATGAGTTGTTTGCATGTGTCTTACTTAACCCTCATTACTCTTTTACCTCACCAGATCTCTAAACACAGCATGGATCACAAAATAATGAACTGGGCTGTGCATAAAGTGATAGTTATTGTAAAGCAGTTACATGCATTCTATATGATGAATAGAATTGCATGTAGAGAAAAAATGACTTATCCCATAAGCCTCTGCAGAACTTTATGGGATAAGTCAAGTTCCCTTATTTATAATGAGAGGCTCCTGTTTGAGCTACATACAATTATCTGACTTGGCAGATTCAGGATCTTAGAAGGTAAGTGTTTTTTTTTTTTTTTTAATTTGTATTAAATTTAAATTTTCTTGCATTACTTTTAATATATTTTCTGTATACTGCATTGGGGCAAAGATACCTATGCCATGGGTTCCTGGAGGAGCATGCTGGCTAGCTTCCTGCCCAAGGACTATGGGCCATGTAACTGACCCTTAAAATACTTGTTTCATGTGTTTTCCTTATTTAGTTTGGGAACTGAACAAGCGCACGAATTGCGGACCACCACAGGGCTTGTTAAACTCTATTAACCTCTCCTGACACCTCAATCATCGGTTTACACCTTGGGTCCCAAGTGTTCGTCTGGGTGGCCATCATGGCGCATGAACACTGGCAGCAGTGTTCGGTCGTCGATTGCATGGAACTAAAATCGGACACACTAACTCGCGAACACCGCTGAACTTTGACGAACGTCTGCTTCTGTTCCAAGAATCTCAGGAGAGTGCCGTTCAGTAGGATTGTTCGCATGTACTATGCGAACAATTTCTACCCATTAACAAGAGGAACTGTTCAGTAGTTCTTTCATTTGGGACTCCCAAAATTGACCGACCGCTACCACTTTTTTTAATGAAAATATTATGGGCAGATGCCTCTTGTGCGGTTGGTCAAAACTTTACAATGGTGGCGATTCAACTGTGTTCATGGGATCTGAGTGCTTTTTGGATATGTTGGGCGCTCAGATCCAGTGATATAATATTTGTGGTGGTTCTTTGTAATATTGTGAGTGTTTTTGGGTGTTTAATATTTGGTGCATTGTACCTTTGTGCCTGGGATATAACTAGTTTAAGCAAAGTGCACTCATTTATATTCCAGACACAGAGACTCCGGGAAGGAGTCTGTATTGAATTGTATGGAGACCCCCTGCTGAGGGTCTGTGTATAAATTGCCTGTACCATGCCGCCACATGCATTAAGACAAACAATACAATGAACATAACAAAATAAGAAAAAAATTCTAATTAAATTCAAATTGAGAGATTTATTTATTTATTTTTTGTGTGAGGTTTTTCATCTGCGTTTAGACCAGATTACCTGGTCCCTTGTTCTCTGAGGACCCTGTGCCTTTTCTCTCTCCCTAACCTCGTTTACACCACCTTCCTGTCAGTTGGACACTAGGGGAACTGGAACTTAGATGCTAGCTAGCACTCCAGACAATTGATCCACGTTTAGTAGATCTCCCTTTTTTCAAGTTATACTTTTTGTTTGCATATCCCTTTTTATCCTTTGATTGATTAAAGGTAGGGCCTTCCTTTCTCATTTCTTATACAGTGGAGCTCTCCTGATGTTGGTTTCCCCTTGTGGGACTCTATACATCACCTACTCCTATTAATTAGTAGAATGTAACATATCACCACTCGAACAGCTAATAAAGACAACTTCCTCTATCTCTCTTTGCATAAATTATTTTCCCTATATTCCATCCACTGAGCTATACATTTTGTAAATAATGCATATAGTGGAAAAGTCACATTAAGGACCAGTCTTAAATAAAAATGTTTGAATAATTTTATACCGATTTTTATTCAGACAAAACATTAGTAAAGAGTAATTTGTTCATGAGAAACCTATATATCACATGACATCTGTATCCTTATATCTCTCCACTTAGATTCCCACTGGAGCATTATCTGCAGATACAAGTAGTCAGATATGCTACAGAAGAAATCAACAGTAACCCCAATATACTGCCCAATATCTCCCTGGGATTCCAGATTTATGATTCCTGTGTTGTGTTACAAAGGGAGTTAGAAGGTACTTTCTGGATGCTCACAGGTCAAGAAAAAGCCTTAGCTAACTTTCAGTGCCAAGGCATTAACCGCTTGGCAGCTTTTATTGGCTACTCCACCTCAACAAACTCAATGCTCATGGCTCATATCTTAGGCCTCAGCAGGTATCCACAAGTAAGTGAAAACTATGTTATTTTGTGATATGATTTATAGGATGTGAACTCGCCTTTGCATAGCATGTTAATACTCCATAATTGTTTAAGTGACAGATTATAATAGATGAGATACAAAGTACAAGAATATTTTAGTTTTTTTTTTTACATATTTTCTATACTTGGAAATTTGTTATCATTTTGAGTCACATAATTTCAGATTGCATTTCTTCCAAAATTCTTCACAACTGGAAAATTTTGATATTCACAAGTCAAACAATCTCTGCCACTTAACACCAACTTTAAATTACAAATTTACAGTTTGGTACTTGTTGACATTTTACTCTTCATTTAAGGACTTCCCCTTTTTGACTCAAAACAGAGTTTCAAATTGAACCAAACATTTGTTACTGAAATTCTTTAGCACCGAAACATTTCGAAAATCAGAACCGTATTAATTTAGAAGAACCAAAAATTATTGCCATGCACGATTCAAATTTTTTTTCTACCGTGGATATATTTCATCATACACACTCTTTCACCATGCCAGTCATTAATCTTATCGTCACACCTACCATTTTTTGAAGTTAAAGAATTTTAATCATTGTATTTTCTCTACTGCACCCCAAGCTTCCCCCAATCAGTAAAGATGGATGTTATTTAATGCATTGCAATTTTCATTATTTTGCAGCTTTTTTTGCGAATAGGGTTATTTAAAAAAAAAGTTTTTTTCAACTTGAAGGTTTATGAAGTTTTCCAACGTACCAAAGAGGAAAAAGGGGGAGTGGTATGGGGATCATCGTTTAATACACAAAAGTCATGTTTATTGCACAAATTAGAGAACTACATCAAAGTATCTTACACAGCAAGGTGACATTTCAGTAGTATTACAGGAAGCCTTACATCAGGAAATTTTAACAGTGACAGAGACATAGTTACAGCCACTATTGTGATTGCTTGCTCAGTTGGGAGTAGTTCGTACTCCTCTTTTCAAGTAGTTTTTTTTTTTCTTCAAAATTTAAGGTTTATTACGTTTCCCAAGGTGGGAGGGGGTACAGAAGAAAAAAGGAGCGGGGAAGGAAGGGGGGTGGAGGTCATCGTTTAATTTACAAATGTCATGTTTATTGTACAAATTAGAGAAATACATCAAAGTATCTTACACAGCAAGGTTACATTTCAGTAATATTGCAGAAAGTCTTACATCAGGTGATTTTAACAGTGACAGTTAAAGCCACTTTTCTGATTGCTTGCTCAGTTGGGAGTAGTTCGTACTCTTCTTTTCAAGTACTCAATCTCCATGTATCCCACATCTGCCATGATAGCAGATACGTTTTAGTAGGTGTGAATAAGGGGTTAATGTACCGCTCAAAGGAGCGTTTTCTGGCTGCCTCATAGAGCACCTCCATAAGAGTCGATTTCTTTGACTTTGATTTCTACGCTCTAGCAATTCATTTTTGTTTGGTTTGTTCTATATGTACTATCAGTTTGGTTTTGAGTCTTGGTATCTCAGTGGGTATATCTAGGATATGACATGTGTGTGGTGAGTAGAGAAATGTGCACCCTGTCAGTTGTGTAATAATGTTGTGTATGGCTGTCCAAAAGGTTGATACTACCTGGCACTGCTACCACACATGTAGCACAGATCCCACCTCTGTCTCGCACCTCCAGCATGTTGGAGACGTGGTGGGGTTGATTTTGTGTAGGCAGCTGGGCACCATATACCCCCTGCAAAGGGTTTTATAGTGTTCCTCTATGTGTGCAGCATATTTTGTTAGTTCCTTGGGTAGGTTAATGATATGTTCCCACTGCTTCTGGGTGTATTTGCACTTCAACTCTATATCCCATTGTGCAGTTGGGTTAGCAAAGTGTGTGTGTTGTAAAAACAGTCTATAGCACATGGAGATTGTTTTACCTTTTAACTGTTTAAACTGGTTAATACACATACCTTCCTATTCTGTAGTCGTGGTCTTAGGAGGACAGCAAAGAGTCACATTTCAGGAGGGTATGTGGGTAAAATAGCTGCTGGAGGTGGAAGCAGCTATCCAGGGTCTTGCATTAAAGGTAGGTATCAGGTATGGGAGGGTCACCAGCAGGTTTGCAAGGGATATGCCCCCCTCCCCACACACGCCACCCTTATGTTTGCCCCATATATTGAGAAACAATGCAACCTCCCTCAGACCTGTTGATATTGGGGGGCATATGTGTTTTGGTAGTCATATTATTGCAGAAAGTGAATGAGGGGAAATAAGGCGATTCTCCAGTTTTACCCATTGGGGAGGAATCCCCGACATTAGATGCAGTATATTCGCTGCAGTGGCATGGAAGTACGATTGGAGATCCGGAAGGGCTAGACCCCCACTGAGCTTAGGAGCTTTTAGTAATTTTAGGTTCACCCTTGGTCTCTTTCCCGTCCACACAAATCTGGTTATGTCCCTTTGGATCAACTTGAAATAGGCCAGTAGAAGTGCAATGGGGATCGTGCGAAATAGGTACATTAGTTTGGGCAGAGCAACCATTTTAAGTGCTATAATTCTTTCCGACCAGGAAAGAAAAAATTTATTCTATTTCTGTAATAGCGTTTAACAAGCCTTCCAGGTTTTGATATAGTTAGCAGCATAGAGGTCTGCAGGGTTTTTTGTGACTGTAATGCCTAGGTATTTAATTGTGTCTGTTTGCCATTCGAACTGAAAGGTTCAGTCTAGATGTGAAATCTGCTTTCTGTCCTGCTCCAGTTCTGGATTCCTCTAGTCTAGTTTTGTCTTATCTTGTTTGGTGCCTGTTCTAGTCTTGCTTTGTTTCTAGTACTGGATACATATTATTATTATTATTATTATTATGATATTTATAGAGCGCAGTCAAATTCCGCAGCGCTTTACAATGAGTGGACGAACAGACATGTAGTTGTAACCAGACAAGTTGGACACACAGGAACAAAGGGGTTGAGGGCCCTGCTCAATGAGCTTACATGCTAGAGGGAGTGGGGTAAAATGACACAAAAAGGTAAGGATAGTATTAGACTAGTGACAGTTGCAGAAGAGGAATCAGTCAGTAGCTATTACCAGTTTAATTGATACGCTTTTATGAAGAAGTGGGTTTATAACGATTTTTTGAAGGAGTGGAGACTGAGTGAGCATCTAACGGAGGAGGGAAGCGAGTTCTGATCCTCACGGCTGCTGCTTTCGCCAAAAAGAAAGAGGCTCTGTCGGCTTTTGCGGTTTCATTTTGTGTCTCTGGGACATCTTAATCTCTTCCCACATGTCAGATTTCCCATTGATAAAATGCTTTTGTAAAAGCCCCTTTGTCCCCTCTCACCGCTCTAGCTCTAGCACAGAGCGCCCATGCGGCTCACCAGTTCAGCCACGCCCCCGGGTTATTTTATTTTTAAAAGTCGGTTATTAAAGATTTTTATTTGGCCTTTTGTGGGGCTAAACATTTAGGAAAAAAGAAGACATCTGAAGGTAAGTATATATTTTTTTTACTGGTAATAAATCAATTGGGCCCCGCACAACATCACTTTTAATAGGGTGAAGGGGGAAGGCATCATTTTTGGGGGTGTACAATGGCATGTCCACCCTCAGTTATCAAAATTATAGTCCCCACTCTCTATCCATAGGTGGAAGAAAGAGGGGGATATTAGGATCACTGATGATGGGTTGGGGCCAGTGGTGAGACTAAGTCCTAAATCATTGATTTAAATTTTAGCCCCTATCTTCTGACGGAGTGTTTCCATGAGGGGTACACTAACTAAATTGAATTAGAGCCACACTGTGGGGACATGGGTGGATAAATTAATAGTGGATGGACAGCAATAAATGCAGAGTTGCTAGTCTTTTATTTCAGCGAGCAGTCACTGGCTGGTCACTGTTTAGCATGGTGACGTGGTATAGATATAAAACCTCTCTTGTACTAGTATAGAGTACCACAGGTCATTTTTAACTATTTCCTAGCACCACCAGCCACCGGACAAATAGTGAACATTGAATACCGAAGCAACTGATATGACTCCACCATTGGCCATTTTAATTGCTTTGGGATTAGTAATTATGCTCAGAATTATTCCTTTCAACCCAAATTTGGCTGGATTGCAATTCTGCCAACATTAAATATCCAAGTCTACTGATTACATCTAGGGGCAGGTTATGGAGATCCATCCATAAGGAACACACAAGTTACACTTCAGCTGGGTCCACAGGTACTATATCAAGATGCTATTGAACATTTCTAAAGAAGGAACAGCTGCTACTTTAAAAGCCACCAGCACCATCTAAACCACAGGCTCTCCTAATTGTATGTATTTTTTCATATGGCTTGGACTTAATTTATAATACATCTACAGGATTCTTCTATATTTGTATGTAACACACTCACTCATGCAGCTATGCAATGAATGCTGATGAATGAAAAATTGTTAATTCCCCTAACAGGTCAGCTACTTTGCAACCAGTTCCCTCCTTAGTGACAGGACACAGTTCCCATCTTTCTTCCGCATTGTCCCAAGTGATGCTTTCCAATCAATGGGATTGGCACAGATGGTCTTACATTTTGGGTGGATGTGGATAGGGCTAGTGGCTATGGACAATGAATATGGTCAACAAGGAATACAGGTAATCAGAAAAGAACTAATTAAATCTGGAGTATGTGTGGAGTTTACAGAATACATCCAAAAGACTTGGCCTAATAATATTCCACATATTGCCCAGGTCATAAAACGGTCAACATCCAATGTTGTAGTTGTCTTTTCAACTGATATAAGCTTCATTCCTCTTCTTGATGAGATATTGAAACAGAATGTATCCCAGAAGATATGGGTGGCTAGCGAAGCCTGGGCAAAATCAGCATTCTTATCTACAAGCACGTATTCCAGCCTTCTTGCAGGAACCCTTGGATTTGCCTTCTATGGCGGCGATATCCCTGGATTTCATGAATTTATCAAACATGTCAGTCTCACTGAACCACCAGGAGAGGCATGGTATACAATGTTCTTGGAGGAACAAATTGGTTGCCTATTAACAGATCTTCAGAACTTTGCATTTCCCAGGAAGAAGCAATCACGGAACTGCACAGCAACAGATGAAATTGAAAACTTCCAGGTCTTACTGAATAATGTGTCTAATAAAGCGATATTATATAATTTATACAGTGCTGTGCATGTAATAGCTCATGCTTTGCATGACATGAGCTCTTCCAAAATTGGAAAAGGGTTTTTCATTAATGGAAACTGTCCTGATAACTGGAGGTTTCAACCATGGCAGGTAAGAGGTCATATTGCTCATCAAAATTGCATCTAGTGGAAATTAAATTTTAAAGTGTAAAAAAAATGTGTCAAGCATGTTATAGTTTATGCAGGCAGAGGAACATATTTCTTGTTAGTCATTGTCTTTCTCACACCTTTATAAATATTGTATTGTGTTATTATTAGAGTTGAGCGAACCTGAACTATAAAGTTCGGGATTGTACCAAACATTACGATTTTTTGACCCCGAACCCGAGCCCGGACATTTCAGTAACAGTTCGGGTTCGAGTTCGGTGTTCGGCGATTTAATGGCGTGTTTTGAAAAGCTGCGGTACAGCCAATCAACAAGTGTTTGACTCATGTGGAAGCCATCACAGACATGCCTACTAATGGCATGGCTGTGATTGGCCAGTGCAGCATGTGACCCAGCCTCTATATAAGCTAGTAGGTGCATTAAACAGTGAGCAGCCTGTGGCCTGTGGCTGCTCACTGTTAAAAAAAAAAATATTCAACCGGGGCCCCCCTCCTGAGCCCCCACTAATGACGTGCAAGTGGGGGCCCTAAATACCAATTAGAGGGTGACCTAATGTCCTCCCACCTGGCCCTCACCCCTGAGCGGTGGGTGGGTGCCCTAAATAAAAATTGGGGGGACCTAATGTCCTCCCCTGTGACCCCCACCCCTGAGTGGTGGGTGGGAGCCCTAAATACCAATTAGGGGGGGAACCTAATGTCCTCTCCTCAGCCCCCACCCTTGAGCAGTGGGTGGGGGCCCTAGATAGCAATTGGGGGAGACCTAATGTCCTCACCCTGGCCCCCACCCCGAACCTAAATACCAATAAGGGGACGACGACCTATCCTTTGAGCGGCGGGTTATTCGAATTTAGGGCCCCCACCCACCGCTCATGTTTACAGCAAAAAGGGTTAAACCTAGATGGACCTGGCACCCAGATCACTTCATTAAGCTGAAGTGGTCTGGGTGCCTATAGTGGTCCTTTAAGGAAAAGCTAGGCATGAGAGCCACAAGTGCCTTTGTAAAGACAGTAGTTGGACACAGAGTAGGCAGAAGTCTTGATACTTGCTTGGGAGAGGAACAGAAGAAATCTCTGTGACAGACCCATCCGTATGAACTAAGACTGCTGTGTTCATCTGTTTGCTTGTTTCACGAACTCACCCATTCGTATGCCTGGATTTAAGTGAATTGACTTTTTTACCGAACAAAACTGTTGAACGGACAGCCACCCAGAAGAGAAGTGTGCTGCTGGTTAACCTATTGATCCCAATTAGAATGTTGCGGTTAACCACAGACACTTCTCAATTAAAACCAAATACAGGGTGGTCGTCGTTCGTATGTCGACCACGAGGCGGCGGCCATTTTAAACCAATGCGAAAGACCAGCGGTGTTCGGTACTAAATTCATGGAACTGAAAACGGACACTTTTTCAACTGAACACCGCTGATGCCGTCGACCTCCCTTCTCCAATCGACAGAAGTGTGCGAACACCGGCCGTTCGGGAGATGTAAAGGCACGAATGGACTTACCCCAGATAGCCTTCCCATGGAGTCAATCGCATACTGAAGAACTGTAATAGACTTTGACTCCATGGCGATTGAACTATGCGTATGGGATCTGAGCGCTATTCGCCAATAATATGCACTCAGATCCAGGCTATCTGGGGATGTGTTACACGAATGAGAAACGTTCGGCAGTTATAAATGTATATATTTTTATGTGTTTTATGTTTTGTATATAAAATGGCGATTTGCCTCTGCTCTGGGAGATAATTGAATTACTTCTCAATTATCTCCCGGGCAGAGGGGAGGAAACTGTGATGTATGCTGGGAATATTGTGTGACTGTATGTCCTGAAATGCCATATGTTCATCTGCTATTCCAGTCTCCCATTTGGTCCCCTAAGGGAGTATCCACCAAGTAGGAGACCTGCATAAATACGGGCGGGTAGCGCACAGTAAACTCAGTTCATGTTTTACCCTCAATGCGGAGCTTGGTCTCGTTATTGGGGGGATTTTATTACCGGCGACTAGAGACTGCTATTTGGAACTATCAGCCGCTTGGGAGATACCGGCGTCCGTCTGAAATTGTTGGTTCGTGAGCTTGCGGCTCGTGGAGTTTGGAGTGTTCCCTGGCTGGCAGTTCGCATGGTTGTATTGAATACTCTTACAGCCAACATTATTGCGAATGGGGAGCATTCACTAAACGGCGGTTTGTACATTTATTACTGAAGGTACCGTAACAATCTCTTTCCAGGCAAGTATCATCCTCTGTGCCTTTGACTTTTCAATGCAATTGCATTCAATGTACAATTAGTCAAGAATACAGTGTTAAAATGACAGCCAAGACTAGTTTACACTAAATGCAGGAAGACCATCCTGAATTATATATATATATATATATATATATATTAAAATACAGACCTAAGACTCTGTATAAACATCACAGAGGTAAGTGATCATATAACATAAAGTTATATCTGTAATGTAGTATGGGAAACCTGATTAAATTATTATTAAATCATTACCAACAGTTATACATATGGATCAGAGTTCAAAAATATTACTCTTTCCATTTGTAATATAACACTACATGTAGTACTTGATTACCTTAAAGGACCACTATAGTGCCAGGAAAACATACTCGTTTTCCTGGCACTATAGTGCCCTGAGAGTGCCCCCACCTTCAGGGTCCCCCTCCCGCCCGGCTCTGGAAAGGGGAAAGGGGGTTAAACTTACCTTTTTCCAGCGCTGGGCGGGGAGCTCTCCTCCTCCTCCTCCTCCTCCGTTCCTCCCCGTCGGCTGAATGCGCACGCGCGGCAAGAGCTGCACGCACATTCTGCCGGTCGCATAGGAAAGCATTTACAATGCTTTCCTATGGACGCTTGCGTGCTTTCACTGTGATTTTCACAGTGAGAATCACGCAAGCGCCTATAGCGGCTGTCAATGAGACAGCCACTAGAGGCTTTGGGGGAAGGATTAACCCTTTTATAAACATAGCAGTTTCTCTGAAACTGCTATGTTTATAAAAAAAAGGGTTAACCCTAGTGGGACCTGCCACCCAGACCCCTTCATTAAGCTGAAGTGGTCTGGGTGCCTAGAGTGGTCCTTTAAGGACAAGGAGTTTGTTAGGGTATACATTTATTAAGTAAGCATACATTTACAAGTATGACCAAAATGACCCAGGAGGTTGCGACAAAGTCTCACAATGGTATTATAGTGAGAGTTTGATAAATACCCTGACATAATCATGCCTTATAAACCAACTGTAAATAGGAAAATACTAGTGTTAATTAATTAAACATCACAGTACTCACTCAGGAAAGTATTTTGAAGAACTAATTTATGAACTAGTGATAATGTCCTCAGACAAGCTTTGGCAACTATGTCTGAAACTCTTCAAAATCCCCTGGTAGCACTGAAGAAGCTGACATGGTGGGGATTCTAAGTGGGAGTACAGCAGATCCATCACAAGGCTCAATATCAATGATTTGAATGACTAGGGAGAGCAGAAAGGACTTCCCATAGGTGGTCCTTTGTAATATTTTGATATATTTTATATATATTGATATACTTGTTATAAACAAAAACATTTTATCTGAAATGTTATATGAAAACATTGTTTTTGGGAAAAAAAATATTTTCAAAGCTTATCCAAAAATATTACATTATTTAATAAGGGTGTCCAACAAAATTTATTTGAGGCCATAGTAATTTGAGTCAATAGTAAGTTGCTTTTGCAATTGAGCGAATATTCATGATTAAGACATTGAAGTGGTGTCTTTGCAGTTGCTGCGCTACATGAAGAAGATTAATTTCACCCTAAGCAGTGGAAGAGATATGTTCTTTGATTCCAATGGGAACCCTCCTCCGGCATATGATATTGTAAATTGGCAAATGGGTCCAAAAAGCACAATGAAACAGATCAAGGTGGGAAGCTATGCAACGTCATCTCCTCTAGATAAAATCCTCTTCATAAATACAAGCATGATACAGTGGGCTACTGGTGAGAGAAAGGTGCCTAATTGTGTAGCTATAGCTTTTCTATCTCCTTGTACTAGTGATTCCCAAACCTGTCCTCAAGGCACCTCTACCAGTCACGGATTTAGGGATTAACCACAACTGGGTAATCCCTAAATTCTGGACTCATAGAGGTGCCTTATATTATTTGGAACATCTATATTTTTTTTCCAAATCTTATTTTTTTTTATGATAATTTTTGTTGAATTTCTTATTTTTAATCTACAGTTAGCTTGCATTTTTTTTGTAAATATTGATGTGCATCCTTCAGCCTTCCACACATCTGTTTTTTGCTGTTGATCCAAAAAGAACAAAAAAAAAAAACCAGTTTGAAGATACTTTTCCTGAGCTAATTCCAAGACTCCTATTTATTACTTAACTGTTAATGCATTCATTTATTAAATACTTTGTTTAATGTTTAAATGAGTGCACAAAGTACTACTACAACAGCTAAATATAAAGGTTATGATGTAAAAAGTAATTCACCTCTATCCCATTGGTTAGTGTCAATCAATCTCTTATTATTATTATTGTTATTATTATTATTACTGCCATTTATATAGCTCCAACAGATTAAGTAGCACTTACAATACTATGAGAGGGGGTGATGTAACTATAAATAGGACAATTACTAGAAAACTTACAGGAACGATAGGTTGAAGAGGACCCTGTCCGAACGAGCTAACGGTCTATTGGAGGTGGGGTATAAGACACGTTAGGACAGGAAATATCAATCAAATAGGGTGGGAGTGAAGCAGAGCTGGAGGAGAGAGTAAAGCACTGCCCTATAGGAGAGAGCAAGAGACAGGTATGTAATGTAGCGGTTACTCTGGGAGGCCATAAGCTTTCCTGAAGATATGGGTTTTAAGGCCCTTCTTAAATGACTGAAGACTAGGGGAGAGTCTGATGGTGGTAGGCAGGCTATTGCATAGGAAAGGAGCTGCCCACAAGAGGACCTGCAAGCGCAAGTTGGCCGTACGGGCATGAGCAGCAGTCAGGAGGTGGTCACGGGCAGAGCGGAGGGAACGAGGAGGGGCATACCTATAGATCAGTGAAGAGATATAAGAGGGGCTAGAATTGTTCAGTGTTTTAAATGTATGGGTTAGGATACAGGGAGCCAATGTAAGGACTGGCAGAGGGGTGAGGTGTGAGAGAACCGACTAGAGAGGAAAATCAGTCTAGCTGCAGCATTCATTACAGACTGTAGCGGAGCAATACGGCTTTTGGGGAAACCAGTCAGGAGAGGGCTACAGTAATCCATGCGGGAAATTACTAGAGTGTGGACAAGCTCCTTGGTAGCATCTTGTGTAAGAAAGGGGCAGATGCGGGCAATGTTATTAAGTTGGAACCTACAGGATTTGGCAACAAACTGGATGTGAGGCTCAAAGGTGAGGCCAGAGTCAAGTATGACACCAAGACAGCACGCTTGCAAGGATGGACTTATGTGGATATCAATGACTTGAAGGGAGAGTGAGAGAGGAGGATCAGAATTAGGAGGAGGAAAGACAAGGAGTTCAGTTTTAGAGAGACTGAGTTTCAGAAAACGCAAGGACATCTAGTCAGAGATGGAAGAAAGGCAAGCAGTGGCACGTTGCAGGACGGCAGGGGAGAGGTTCGGGAAGGAGAGGTATATCTGAGTGTCATTAGCGTACAGGTGGTAGTGGAATCCAAAAGAGGCAATAAGTTTTCCAAGAGAGGCATTATAAAGAGAAAATAGAAGGGGACCAAGGACAGAGCCTTGGGGAACTCCAACCGAGACAGGACAAGGGGAGGAGGTATCCTTGGAAAAGGGGACACTGAATGAGCGTTGGGAGAGACAGGAGGAAAACCATGAGAGGACAGAGTCACAGAGACCGAGAGATTGAAGAGTTTGAAGAAGGAGAGCATGATCAACGGTGTCAAAGGCAGCAGAGAGGTCAAGGAGAATTAAGATGGAGTACTGACCTTTGGATTTAGCTGCAATTAGGTCATTGATAACTTTGATAAGAAAGTTAGTCTGGCTTCTGCCCTCAGTAGAGTGGAGAGGGCAGAAGCCAGACTGAAGAGGGTCAAGGAGAGAGTTGGAATTGAGGAAGCGAGACACATGGCTAAAGACAAGTCTTTCCAAAAGCTTTGATGAGAAAGGAAGCAGGGGTATGGGACAATAGTTAGAGGGGAGGACGGGTCAAGAGATGTTTTTTTCAGGATAGGTACTACAGTTGCATGTTTAAGGTCAGCAGGAACAGTGCCAAAAGAGAGGGCAGTTAAAGATGTGTGTTAGGGTAGGCACAAGACAAGGGGAGAGAGATCTTATGAAGTGAGATGGGACAGGATCAAGCGGGCAAGTGGTGTGGCGAGAGGAATGGAGAAGCGCATCCACCTCTTGTTCAGTAGCTGAGGAGAAAGTCTGAAGGGTAGGGAAGGCACAATTTACTTGTGGTTGAGAAAGAGAATGGCAAGGAGGGGAGAATTATTTCCTTAGCTGTTCAATCTCGTCGGTAAAGTAGCATGCAAAGCTATCAGCTGTTATCTCAGCAGTAGCATCAGGGTTTGAGGTGATGGGTTTGAAGTGCTGTGAGAGTTGAGTATTTTGTCAAACTTCTCAAAAACAGTTTGACTCAAACACTTTAAAACTCTTTGCATCATAACTGTTACAGTAAAATGCAGTGTCTGGAGGGACCTCTTGAGATGTCAATTCTCAGATTAGAATGCAGATCCATGTCTTTTTATACAAAATAAAGAGTTACAGATTGCAACCAGCCAGAGATAGAAAGAAAGGCACATAGTACCATATCATTATATCACTGTAAGATATCTGGAATGTGTATATTCTTGTGGTACCTAGAGGAAAACTTAGTTCATACCTGTATAAAAATATTTCTTAAGAACAGTAGTGGTTGTTTTATCCTCAGATTCCGCCCTCAGTTTGCAGTAAGAGTTGTCAACCAGGGTTTAGAAAGGCATCAATCAGAGGAAAACCTATCTGTTGCTTTGAATGTATCCCTTGTCCACCAGGAGAAATTTCTAATGAAATTGGTAAGTAGAGCATGAAACAGGAAAACACAATTCAGAGAAGACTAACATAATTTCATAATACATTGTTCTCTCTAACCCTAGATTCACTGAAATGCTTTACGTGTCCATGGAATGAATGGCCAAGTATTCATAAAAATAGCTGTTTTCCAAAGTACATTGAATTCCTCTCATACGAAGAGCCTTTGGGTATTACTCTCTCATCCACCAGTGTTACATCTTCCATGATTCCTATAGCAATTCTAGGGTTACTGGTATATCACCGGACATCTCCTGCAGTGAAAGCTAACAATTACACTCTCAGTTGTCTTCTTCTGGTATCGCTGTCACTTTGCTTCCTCTGTTCTCTGGCTTTCATTGGCTATCCACACTTGGAGAAATGCCGTCTACGACAGGTGACTTTTGGCATGGTCTTTGCACTCTGCATTTCATGTATTCTGGCAAAAACAGTTATGGTAGTACTTGCTTTCAGGGCCACAAATCCTAGCAGCAGCTTAAAGACGTGGGCCAAGCCAAAAGTGTCTTATCTAGTTATCGGACTTGGAGTATTCATGCAGTTTTTAATCTGTATCTGTTGGCTGGCTCTCTCTCCTCCTTTCCAAGAATACAATTCCAGCTACCACTCTGAAGTTCTTGTGGTTGAATGCAATGAAGGTTCACCCACAGCTTTTTGGGGAACTTTAGTATATCTTGGGTTTCTTGCCCTAAATAGCTTTCTTGTTGCTTTCTTTGCTCGGAGACTTCCTGGCAACTTCAATGAAGCCAAATTCATTACTTTCAGTATGCTGGCTTTTCTCATTGTCTGGGTATCTTTTATCCCAGCCTCACTAAGTGCCCGTGGAAAGTACACTGTAGCCATGGAGATTTTTGCCATTCAGTCATCCAGCTGGGCAATTGTCTGCTTCATGTTTGCTCCCAAATGTTATATCATCTTATTACATCCTAATAGGAACATAAAAAAGCATCTAATGAGTGAGACTAATAAAGTAAGAAAGAGTCATTATAAGTAAAATGGAAGAAAAACAAATCTAAATGTATTTTTACTTCTACAAAAACTGTTATCATTTTTTTTTATATAAACCAGATTATCATCCAGATGTTCATATTGTTAAATAGTCAGCATTCCTTGATAGTGTGAGCAATGGATATTAAAATAATAATATTGGCTAATATAGTTAAATAACATATGTATGTTCTTTATCAATGGTTGATTTCATTCTGGGTGTACGAGGAAAGTTTGTTACATTTTGTAGGTTTTTAACTAATTGGACGCAAGTCTTTTTTCAGCCTATATAATTATATGACTATATAACTATGTACTATTTTCTGAAAATAATGTAAACTACACCTGAATACATTCAACTCGGAGCTAAATTGCAGGCTATTTACATTAGTTAAAAATAATGGATTATTTTTAAACAAGTGGTTGTGCAGAAAATATGTTAAAAATAACCAGACTCATTTGGACTACTTAATTCCTCCAAATAAAGTCCTCCTCTAGATGCTCGGGAATTCAAACTCTAAAACCAATTTTGCAGCCAATTATTCGCCACTGTTTTTTATTCTTAGGAGGAACCTGGAGTCCGGGGGAGTGTTGTGTATTTTACACAATTATCTTATAAATATATCATGACATAATTTACAAGTTTCACATCAATATATTATGTGAGATTTTATGGGTTTAATGATTTAGAATGTAAAACCAATTAATTCACATGAACCTTAATGGATTTGAAAATAGCCACAATATATGTAATAATTTTCTGAATTTCTTGACCTTATGTATATAATATTATGCATACAATTTTATATGAAAATAAAAGACTATGTATGGCATATAATCAAATTGCAATTTTATTTTATCATTACGCTAATGAAAATCTAGTGTTGCTAATTTTGACAAGCAATATATTAATATAATTATATAGTTAGAAGCAATGGTAAACAAGAGGTTTCTCCCTTATATATGATGCCCAAACATTATAGTGCATAAATCAAGAAAATAAAACATTAATATTACAAACCCAAGGAACCAAGACTTTCCTGCAAGACAATACAGATCATGGGATTATAATGCCATTATTTGATCTATAGTTAATACTTAGGTCAGATCACCATACCCTTATATTGAAAACACAATAAACATCTGATTAAGCCAGATTTTAGTAAGTATTTATAACCATTATGGATACTTACCAATGCTAATAGTCTTGGAATTCAAAGTTAGGCTATTTACACCCTTTCCCGCACATCCAATTTGCAGGACTAAGATAATCAGTGCTGTCAAAGGGTGGTGAGATACCTTCCACCACCAAGTTCCATTTAAATGTCTGCAGTAAAATTAAAAGGTTTCTCTCATTCTACTTTCACACACAATGTTGAGTATAGCCCCTTGAACAATGACCTGATCAGTGGTATGGGAATTGTGAATAATTTATCTCAGTAATCAGTCTTATTCAACAACTATAGTTTGCTGAAGATGTTCAAGTTGGCCAAATGATTCCTCTGAACAAAGTATCTGGTTGTTCTTTGAAACAATTCAGGTATTACAGCAACTCTCATCCATAATAACACACAATCAACTGAGGTTTTAAGGGTATTTGCTTCAAAATGATTGACACCATTTTCTCTTTTGTCCTTTGAGTACTTGTATTAAAATGGAAAATCCTGGGTGACATTAGAATTGTTCTGACAGGAGGAAGAATATTTGGATTGGTAGAATACACTGAATAAATAAAGAATGTTCTCCCGACGTTGCTGTTTCTTTATCAGGCTCTTCTGATCCTTCTCACTAAAAGAGGTCACGCAAAGGACTATTCATGATTTATTTAGAATAAGAAAACACTTGCCAATAAAATGTTATATAGATGTTTGTTGATTGTGTTATATAGATGTTTGTTGATTGTTATATCTTAATTACATGCACTATTATTTCTTTGCTATATAACTGCTGGAAAATTACGAAAATTTGTATTGATCAAAAAAGCATCATTTATTGGACTCATGTTGCCATGCTTCTCTGAAAACTTTGAGTGGCCTGTTTCTGCATTCTCTTGGAATCCATATTTTTTCAGGACATAAGTACAATTCAGTGGTCAGAGCTTTGCTCCATAATGTGAAATATTTGGTATGACTAGAAGCTATGCTAATTTTTAACTTTTCTACTAAACAATGAGAAAACACTTCTCATTAACTAGGACAAATAGAAACATGACAAAGAGGAATACTCTATTCACTACAAAACCAACAAGGAACCTAATAATGAATCATAATGTCTATCCTTCAGCAAAGAATCTTAAAGGACCACTCTAGGCACCCAGACCACTTCAGCTTAATGAAGTGGTCTGAGTGCCAGGTCCCTCTAGGATTAACCATTTTTTTATAAACATAGCAGTTTCAGAGAAACTGCTATGTTTATAATAGGGTTAATCCAGCCTCTATATCCTCTAGTGGCTGGGTGATTGACAGCCGCTAGAGGCGCTTGCGTGCTTCTCACTGTGAAAATCACAGTGAGAAGAAGCAAGCATCCATAGGAAAGCATTATAAATGCTTTCCTATGAGACTGGCTAAATGCGCGCGCAGCTCCTGCTGCGCATGCGCATTCAGCCGAAGAGGAGGATCGGAGGCGGAGAGGAGGAGGAGAGCTCCCCGCCCGGCGTTGGAAAAAAGGTAAGTTTAACCCCTTTCCTCGCCATCCAGCCCAGCGGGAGGGGGTCCCTGAGGGTGGGGGCATCCTCAGGGCACTATAGTGCCAGGAAAACGAGGATGTTTTCCTGGCACTATAGTGGTCCTCTAAGGTAAAGTGGAATAAAGGTAAAGAGTAGACCTTGGCTCCACATTACTCATGTGAGGTCAATATGGTCCAATACCACTTTTGATGAATACCAAGGTGTAAATGTCTGTGGTTGACTAACTCAACTTTCATTTTGCATGATTCGATCTAATATGGGAATGTAGTATTTCATGGTTTGGATTTTTCACATGTTTGTTAAGTAGTGTATGCAGCCCATCTATTCTAAATTGCTAGGTAAGCTTGGACTGAGACAACATTAGTGTTGGTAATGAGTGTCCCCAGACCTGGAAAATTAATTTCTGGAAGCTATTGCTAGTAAACTGGCTACTGGTGTAGAAGGAAATGTGCGATATGGCAAATTCAGGGGTGACAGGTTGCCATGGTAATTTATGGCTGTGGTAATAAGCTTGAAAATCATACCAAAATTATTTAGTTTGAGAGAACTCCTTAAAGATAAAGCAACATATATACTTGTGAGTTCACTTAAAACATGTGGCAATGACTTATCTTCCTATGGTGAAACCATCTACTAGAGCAAAAAGGCTCAAAGGCTAAGATGGGCCAAATAAACAAGGTTTACGTTCTGTGGGTCGCAATAAAAAACAAAAACGGCAGTTTACTTAGAAACTTAGGTTTATTTAGAAAAGTACAGAATAAAAAAAGTTGCCTAACTGATAATGGACGTCCTCTCGCTTGTAGGGCTTCAAAGTAAACAAAAGAGCGAGTTTATTTTAAGGAGACGTGCATTTGCATATAGCCAATGTTTCAGTTCAACTACCTTGACATATCAAGAAAAGTTTGGTAATGGGACTGAAATGGTGAATGTATGCTGTTGCACAGCTGTAAAAACCAAATTACGTTATCTTGTTTATTTTGAAGTGTTCTGAGATCATCAAACTTACAATACAGTGCCCCTTAATCTAATACACTGCCCCTCCTCCCTCCACTCTAATTGAATACACTGCTCACCCTACCCCTAATTTAACACACTGCCCCCACCACTCTAATACATTGACTCCCTCCCTCAAATAAATAAATACACTGCCCCTCCTCCCTTCAAATACACTTGCCTCCTCCTTCCCCAAATTAATACAGTGCCCACTCCCTCCCATTAATACACTACCCCCTCCCTCCCATTAATATACTGCCCCCCTCCCTCCCATTAATACACTGCCCGCTCCCTCCCATTAATACACTGCCCACTCCCTCCGATTACAGATTGCCCTCCCTCCCATTAATACAGTGCCCCTCCATCCCATTAATACACTACCCCCTCCCTCCCATTAATACACTGCCCGCTCCCTCCGATTACAGATTGCCCCCCTCCCTCCCATTAACACACTCCCTCCCCCAAGTCAATACATTGTCCCTTCCCTCTCTTAAATTAATGCACTGTCGTCCCTCCCCCCACCACTCTAATACACTCCCCTTCCTCAAATAAATACACTGACCCCTCCTTCCTTCAAATAAACTACCCCCTTTCTGTCCGTCCTCTAGCTCCAGCCCTGCTCAAGCAGGCCAGATGCTCCTCTGGCTCCTCCACCCTGCTCAGCAGACACACTGCCATCTTGTGTCCGGAACCACACGAATCAGGAAATATTTTTTCTGTCTCGCGGCTGGTCGCAGCCACAGCTGAAAGTGGTCTCTAGGCAGTCGAGCTGCAAAAATTAGAATTGCGGGCCACATGTTTGGCATGCTTGTCCTAGAGGATTAGTAGGAATAAATGGACAATAGTGTTTCTTTGATCCTCAATTTTGATCCCCACTTTTAGGATATCCCTAATAAAATAGGCAGATAGACAGCTCTATGTATCAGGCATGGGTGGTATAATCCCCATCTAGAATTCTTTTGACAATGGTCCAAAGGTGTTACAGGTGATGAGGTCAGATGTCAGATAATGAAGTAGCCAAACAATACTTTTATTAATGTATAATACAATAAAAGCCGGCGGAGAGGCTGGACCAAGGGGCGTAACTAAAAATCAAAGGACTCCAATGAAAAAAATCAAGAAAGGGCCCATCTTACACTTTTACCGGTACACATACACTGGCATACACTCAGGGACAGTAATGCAGTCATTGGCACACACATTTTCAATTACAGACACTCAATACACAAACACTGTCAGTGAATGTGTCACTCATAGACACACACTGACATTCACATGCTCTCACTGATTTGACATACTGACAGACAGACACACTCACTAACAGACACACACACAGTCACTGATAGACACGCACTCGCTTACACACAAACACATTTTCTCACACACGCTCACAAATTAATTTTATTTATAGTTTTTTTTTTTTTTTTATTTAAGCCCACCCAAGTTCCCATCCTATTCTGCTTAGGGATGCTGGGACCAGAGTGACACAACATTCCAGCTCCCAGCATCACCTCAGAGGGCATACAAGGGAGCAATGAAGAAGTTCAAAAGCATTGGCACCCCTCTCTGTTCATACTCAGCCCTCCCATGTATTTCGGAATAGTAGGCACCTGACATTCAGATAAGCAGGTGCATTACTGTACAGTCATGCCCTTCCTGGGGGCCCCTCATGGGCCCCTCTCACAGGTGAAACACAGGGGCCTGATCACACTCGCCACATTAGCAACCCCTGTAGTTCCACCACTGAATGTGCCCTAGGTGGCTACCTAGTTTGTCTAATGGTAGCACTTGCCTTAGGTAGGCCAATAAAGCCAATATTAATAAATAGTAAAATAAGGTTATTGATAAGGAGATAGAATTGTTTAAAAGAGTGAGGAACTCTTCTTCTATATGACGGTTTGTTACATCTTTTGAGAAAATTAAGACCTTCGCAGTAGGAGCTGAGGAGCAGACAGATTGTTGATCTGTGTGTAGTGGAGCACAGTGTGGTCATTTCTTTAACAGTCCTATATGTTAACATCATCCTTGTAACGGCACCCCCCAGGCATAAAAGGGTTAAACCGCCGTTTAGAAGATCTTCCCCTTCCAGAGACACAGGCAGCTACTGTAGACACCAATCCACTGAACCGGAGAAGCATTTGAATGCTCTCAAACATACAAATACTGTAAACAGCCAGAGCTGTGGTTTTATTGTTCTTATATACACATTCTTACACATTAGTACCACCTCCAGGGTTTTGGAAAACAATCAATAAACATGTACAATACACTCAGACACTCCCACACAAAATCCTCCCCCCTGCCTGTGATACAATTACCTTACACAATGGATAATGTAATTATCACAGGCAAAGAAATACAGTTTTTCCACATTATTCATAATTTTAAAAGTCTGCATCACATTCACATAAAACTTACATTTTCAGAATCAGCATACTCCAAATACAAACATATGTCAAAATCATACAAATTGGTGCAGTGGTTCAAAAAAAAGATCGTAGTCCTTTGTGACCAAATGAAGCATGGGTTTTCTGCCCAAAACCAGTTCCACAGAGTCTTCTACCTTGGAGATAATTGGGAAGTAATCCAATTATCTCCAAGGACAGAGGCAAAACTCCATTGAACACATGGCAGCAAAAGACAATAAAATACATACAAATATATAACTGTGCAGCCATTGCATAAAACAGGTACATTCAACATATCCCCAGATAGCTCAGATCTGAGTGCACATTATTACTGAATTGCATTCAGATCACACACATGCAGTTCAATTGCCATGGAGCCAAAGTCTTTCCCATAGTCTTTCATTATACGAATGGGCTCCATGGCACTGAATGACCCGGCTTTCGTGTCTTTGCAGGGGAAAATCAAGCGTTTCAACATGGGGCCATAGTGTAAAGGCAGCAGGCGGGCAACCAGGCTCCTCCAATGCAATTGAGATTGGTCTCGTCACAATCCTCTACTATTAGTCTATCAATCAATCAATATGTAATTGTGATAGAAAAGTTAAGAGTTATTTGGAAGATTTTTAGCATTGACAGAACAATCCTTTAAAACATGTATCAGAGCACTCGCTTTATATTGCCCTACTGTGTCAACTGTGAAATCCTATATTTTCTATATGTAATAAATATTTAAAAGATAAATATATAATTGAATATTTTTTTTACCACACTCACTTTTTTCCCTCTATTGGTTACTTCTTCTCACTTGATCTGTAAGTCGAATGACATGAAAATACATCTATCTGTGTACTGCAAAATATCTTTAGATTATCTATATATTTTGCAGTACATTGATAAGTTCATTTCTGTGCCATTTTGATGTGTCAGAATAGTTTGTCATGAATTGATCACACAAATGAAATTCATTGGAACCAAAACACCACTTGGGCGAAACCCTAATCACCTGAAATATTGATTCGACCTTCTAAACTATTTTGGTTTGCACCAGTCGGGTTATTGTAATCCAACTTACATCCATTGGGATTTTTAAGTGGTAGATGAATCAACAGACCCCTCTATACGGACCTCTTAAATTCTTATTGAAAATTTTATGTAGACTTTAATACACACTTTGATTTTGTTTTTTTACCCCTCTTAATTCCTTGTCATGTGTCCTTAAGGGGTTAAATCAGTTGGCTTTGTAATTTTATTTGAGCAGCGGAGTGTTCATTTAAATTGACTGGACCACTGCACCCAAGCCACGTCATTGAGATAAAATGACCTGGGTGGCTTTAATGGTCATTTAACAGTATATAAATTAACTTTTGCTTCTGTGTGACCCCAACCAATCTTAGACATGCAGAGACATGTAGGTACTGTGTATGTATGCATCACCAGAAAAGGATAAAAAAGCCCAAAGGATCTGAGATAGGTTACCAGTTTGGGGTCCACTCTTCTTTCTTTGCATAGGGATGCTCAATAGGGCAAGCAAGTTCATGGTTTCAAGGCCCCTCTTTAACACATGGACCCTAGGCGGCTGCCCAACATCAACTTATATCTTGTTCTGGTCTTGGCTAATATAACAAATATTCTCCTCTATTCAGATCATCTTATATTTACTCCTGTGAAATTAGATTTTTTTATTAATATATGAAATTGATGCATTTTTTTTTTCATTTCATGAAATGTGATGCTTTCAATCAGTGCAGAGAGCATGACTAATTAACATCAGAATGTTAAGTATCTGTCCCATATCTGGGAATAAGAAATCCCCAGATTATTTAAATTAACTCAGGGCGTCCGTCTCAAATCTAGACTTGTGAGAGTTAATATTCTCAAATGTACAATCCCTTCCCATGCTGAGAAATAATTACCACTTACCGACAAAACATATTGGACATTTTTGAGGATATAAAATGAGGATTCACTCTTTGTATGAATGAGATCCAGACAGAATGAGGTGAGTGCAACTTTAGATCAAATGCAGAACTGTGGTACAATTTTCCTAAATATTACAGAGAGAGAGAGCGAGGGAAAGAGAGATAGATTATATCAGCGTAGAACTGAAAATTTTTTTTTTTTTACACAAATCTTTTATATTTGTTGGTTAGAAAAATTGCCAGTTATGACTGCATTGTGATTAGAAAACCTATTCCTCATACAGTTTCTCTGATTGATAGTGATTTCAAGATGTCTGTGAGTTAGAGATGTTGATGGGTATACAATGTAATTTATGAGATAAATTTAGAATTATGGAGAATGAATAAAGGAACTCATATTCCTAGACATATAGACATATTTAAAAACTAACAGAGTAGGAGAATATATTTTTTTCTGTTTGACTGTTTTGTCCTTCACAGACGGTTTTTACTGATTTTTAATTTGTGCATACTGTTAGGAAAATCTGATATATAGGCACATCTCCAGCAGATACACATTGCTGGAGGGTATCAGTTACTACTCACACACGATTTAGACAGTTCTACCAATGCACCTCTATACCAGGAATTTATTTTTCTGACCCTGCATTTGACCAATGAATTTGAATAAAGTGATTAAATGCATTTTTCAATGTGCCTGGTCCTCCTTTCTATTTATTACTAATTGTAATAAACTGTGACTCCACTGGTCTGGATACTGGAGGGGGTTCAGGTGGTACAATACTATCCTATGATATTTCAATTTGAGACTAATAACAATGTTTTGAAGCAGCTAAGATGTGTGCGTCTCTGTGAGAATCAGGTACGTCATGCTGATTGGTTAGAACCAGCTTCCGAAGTTGGAAGTTGGTTGACGTTTTTTACAGGTTTTCTAGTTACCTTCCTGGAAACCAACAAGTCCAAGTTAAAAAAGTTAATAAAAAGGCGTGCAGCATTAATATCTGCATAATTGTTTAATGTACCCTTTTCTAATATAGAAACTGCTAAGCAGACGAAAAACCCACTACATACAAAATAGTTCCCAGTTACTGTACGCATTAAGAGTGCTTAATTTCAGCCCCGAGTGTTTTGACCTTGGACTTTTCTTGGAGGCTGCCATATTGCTCTCATAAGGAGTAGGCAAACTGGAACCTTAACCTACTTCCAAATCTTTTCTTCATTCGTAATTCTGGCCTCCTCAGACATAACTTTGTAACTTTGTAGTTTGTTATATACTGAACTAAAAATGACAATAAAGAGTTTCACATTAAGGTCTGTGCAGGCAAAACATGATGTCGGGATCTTGAAAATAAAAGCACAGAGCATCAAACTCAAGCTATTAACTATAAGAAGGGCTGGACAATGTGTAGCCAGAAAGTGGGCAAGGAAGTGGTATATTTTGATGTCCGATATTCCCAAGATCTAGGAGAGGTTATACGTGCTTAAAAATATCAGAGTGTAACATGCCTTTTATTTTTTTTTTCATATTCCATAGGCCACAATATTAACTGAGCTTTAAGGGAAACTGTCACAACACAGGATTTTTTTAATAATATGTTTACTTATCTCTATTTATTTAACAATATGTATTTTCGAGAAATGAAATTCACACCTTTTTGTCCTGTAACCAGGCGTCTCCATCTTATCTCCCTGTCAATCATTCTTATAAGTTTAGTCTTTTCCACCTTATGGACATCATAAAGAAAGCATAGAGAGGATACATTAATACGCCTTACCTTGCGTGAATTGAATTGTAATAGAATTAGCAAAATCTTTCATATGAATTTAAAAGAAAAACAAGTTTTTCATTAAGACAAAATAAATGAACACACGGTATCGTTGACTTGCAATAATTTGTTATATAATGTAATTTCCATGTTATAGATAGGTTCCCTTTATGAAGTTTAAAGTATGTAACACAGATTGAATATACTTTTTTTTGGTTTTCTCTCCTTCTCTCCAAGGCTTTATTAAAACCTAAAACATTTTGAGACTATCTTCTGATTCCATTGCCTGTTCTAGAAGGCATTTAAATGATCTTAACTGAAGTCTTGAAGGCGATGTGGATATTGTTTGCATTCTGTGTTCTGCATTTAGTGAATTCCACTGACCAAGGATGCAGATTACCCAGCACTGAACTTACAGGCATGTCAACTCCTGGAGATATTATTATCGGTGGAGTGTTGCCTATTCATGTGGACAAAATATATCCTAAAATTACCTACAAAGAGAAACCACCTCCTGCTATCTGTACAGAGTGAGATCATTTTTATTGCACAAAATTTGTTCATGTCTGATGATGTTATTATTATTATTATTATTACTGCTATTTATAAAGCACCAACTTTTTGAGGACTCTTTTTAGAAGATATATTCTGATTTTTAACATGATATGCATCTTTTCCTCACGTAGTGTTGCAAGGAGTAGATCTGAACAGAGAAAGGTGGCAAATTAGTAATGTGCTATTTTATAGAAAAGAAAGTAGATGCTGTGATCACAAAGGCAAGAGAATTGGTAGGATCGAGCATAGATTTTAAAATTGAAATGCTTAGAATATGCATAAAGTGATTGAAAAAAATATCAGTATAAAGTAGTAAAATGCAAATCTATTTTTTTTTAACTTTTTTTTACTTTTTTAACTTTTTTGTTTCTTCCCAAAGTGTATATAGTCAAGTGATCCCAAAATCTGTATGTTTCTCCCTTTTTACTTACACAGGTTTAGAGTTGAGAACTATCAAGGCATCCAGGCAATAAGATTTGCTGTTGATGAAATCAACCAGGATCCAGATATTCTACCCAACATCACCCTGGGCTTTGACATCCATGATTCCTGTACAGTTCTGCAAAGGGTTGTGACGGGCACTTTGCAAGTCCTGGCTGGCTTGGGGCAACCTGTGCCAAATTACAGATGCCAACAAGATGTTCCTTTGGCAGCTCTTATTGGTCACTCTGTCTCAACTTACTCTATGCAGATAGCTCATATTTTAGGATTGTACCGATACCCACAGGTAAGATTGAATTAACTGTTCATGGTGCTGAAATAACAAGTGAAACATGAAATCTTATTTTTTTAGCATAGCTCACATTCCACTAATTATTACAGCGACCTTATGAGTAAACAAGGTTGTAAGTCTCTATGTTCTCATGGTATACTCACTCAGAATCTAGATGTACTGTTCATTTAAGAGTAAAAATATCACAGGAAAAAGCATGATTAACTGCTCCTTCATCTTACTCAAATAGATAGAGGCAAAGATGTGGGCTGTTGCTAAACTTTCTCAAGTCATGTATTTATAATGTATTTTTTGTGTAAAAGGGAAGTACTTTTAAAAATCAAGTGATGTGCTATTTAGAGTAGTTTCAGTGCTGCGATGACATAGATTTATTTTTTATTTTGTTATTATTATGTTACAATCACCTTTCTAAGCGTCTGGTGGTGAATACTTCGGTCCATTTCCATCCATCTGCATTTCTACATAGACCATCACTACGGACTGCTAGACCTGTGGACTCAGCCTATTTGAGGCACCAGCTTTTTAGCACATATTGAATGTCTTTCAATTGTGCCACACTGTTTGTGAGTGTTTTGAATTTATTTGTTTTACCATTTTTTTATTAAAGGTTACACTATGATGTTCTCTGTTTTATCTCCTTTTATGTGAATATTCCATGCCCATCTATTGAAGGGTAAATATACTCACTATTATATATAGTGGCTTGCCTGCACATCTTTTATACTCAGTTTTCTCACTATCCATACCTGGTTTTACGATCACATCATCGACTGACTGTCTACACTTATTTATTACACTGTGCTTAAATAATACTTCTTATTATTTTGTTTGAATTTGTAAATGAATTAGTCAATAGACATATAAGAAATATCTACAGCACATTTCCTTTATAGTTTCATGAACATTTCGATTTCCTGTGAAAACTGACCAGCTGGGTAATTCAAAATAATGGTAAATATTTAAAATGTATAAAATGTGTTTTCATAAAAATAATGCAGATATAAGGGGTAAATGGTACAATATTCTATCTGTAGGATTATCGTTCAATAGTTCATTTTAAATGAAATTTTTAAACAATCGACCAATATAGCAAGATGCATTCCAACGTCCATGTGTTATATCTGCATATACAATAACAGGTGTATATTTATGCTGACATATAATCAGGGACATGTAGGTGTGTGTGCATATGTGTATGCATCCTTATGTGTATTTTCTTTGTGCTTTAATGTGTGTATTTGTGTTTTTAGTCTCTGTGTCTTTTTTTTGTAACTCCCCATTCTAGTTTCATCTCATACATTGTTTTCTTTTTCTTCCTGTTCTCATTGTTCCTCTTTTTTATAAATAATAATTACAAACCTCTGGAAGAACGGTGTATTTTTTTTCTCCCCCCCCTATCCTAATTAGGCCTGTGTGCAATCTGCTATGATATCCCTTAAACCTGTGGATCACCACACAAGTTTGAATTCCATATGCCGTTTTATTCAGAAATGCTTTAGGCTTGATAAAGGGAAGATCTCCCGAAAACGTGTTGCTGCAAAATTGTTAGACCAATAAAAATGGCAATACAGGATGATACGATAATCTATTATTTTACTAAGCATCACTGGTTTTACATGGCTAATATTTTGGCTAGATATAACATACAAAGGACAGACAAAAGAAGTTATCTGCGCACTATCCCAAATCCCTATGCACATTTAAATACGGCAAGAAAATTCAGTTTGGTCAAACCATTTGCCGATCAGATAAGTCAATTGGAAGCAAAAATGACAAGAATATAAAATATAAAAGATAGATATAAAATAAAAATGATACTTAAAAATAAAAAAAACTGAAGCTGTTGTTAGACGTCAAAGTAGCACTAACAATCTATGCAGATAAAATAATTGAACATTTTATTACAACACATACTTAAAAACCCACAAAAAATGAGATAGGGATTAAAACTGCTATAGAATCCAGACAGTGAATAAACAATGAATAAAGCACTCTATAACACCCAGCAACCCTATTATCACATTCAATATATTTGGGCTGATGAATATTGTAGAAATTGCTGTCACCTAAGATGGTGGTAGTTTGAGCACAAGGCTTATTTTTGTGTGTTTATACAAAAGAGTATCAGCTTGAATACATGTTATACCCATTCCAAAGTGGTAATGCGCTGGCTAAAAACAGTGAGTTTATCAAGCTTGCAAAAGTTACCACTTGTGATGTGGAAAATACTTGAGTTGAGTTGATCTTAACTTGTAAATGTGAATTGTAAAAAAATGAGTTTGTCTTCTTTATCTATATATTTGATGTATATCATTGCTGCCTTTAATATAATGCTTCTTAGTTTAAGCGCAATTGGAATCCCCCTGAATTTGTCTCAGATGTGTAAATTATCTCCAGGTATTAAAAAAGAACCCTTTGTAGTAGATACTCAGGATACCAGTAAAACCTCATTCAGGATTTTATAAATACTAGAGAATTAAAGTAGGCCAAGATCATTAAATAGTAAAATATAATGATGTTTTATCTGTATTTATCATTCTGGGTTTAATCTATAATTGTTGATCTGTGGGTTTTTAAAAAAGGAACTTTTATTTTAATATTTTAAAATGCGTGCATTTTAATAGAAATAGAAACATTTAGGCTAGTATATTTTATTGTGTTTGCTTTGCCTTCAAACTCAACCGTCTTGCATAAAGGTTTTACTGCTACTATATATAATTGTACTTAGTGAATGACCTCTGAAGGTCATAAGTTTGAGTTGACCTTACAGAAATTTGAATCTAAGCTGGTGCTGCAGTCAATTCTTTTTGCATATAGGGAATATGGGATTATACATAATAAGTTGAATATCTGTTCATTTTTATTTACATTGTAAAAACTGGTACTCACAGTTATAAAACATATATATAATTCATTACAGATTAGTTATTATTCGACCAGCTCACTTCTCAGTGATCGGACCCAGTTCAAGTCATTTTTCAGGACAGTCCCTAGTGATGCCTTCCAAACCCGGGGACTAGCCCAATTAGTGCTACATTTTGGATGGACTTGGGTGGGATTGGTAGCTCTAGGAGATGATTACGGTCAGCAAGGGATTCAACTAATCAAAAGAGACATCCTACGGGCTGGAGCTTGTGTCGCCTTCACAGAGAACATAATGATAAACAGACAAGACCGCAATGCTCCATATATTGCACGGGTTATCAAAGAGTCAACAGCAAAAGTGGTGGTTTTCTTTACTACTGATGTAGACTTGATCCATGTTCTAGAGGAAATGTTGAAGCAGAATGTCTCTGGAAAGATATGGGTGGCCAGTGAATCTTGGGCCAACACTCCAATGCTGGATAAATACTCATCACTTCTCTCTGGAACTATTGGCTTTACTTTTTACAGAGGAACCATTCCTGGTTTTAAAGACTTTCTCAATGGGGTTCAACCCTCAATGTCTTTGGGAAGAGAATGGAATAAAATTTTCTGGGAACAGGCTTTCAATTGTAAATTCCTTGATGATACAAATCTCACAGTCAATACTGACTTGTCTATTGAAGAATGTACAGGATCAGAAAATCTACACACTCTCCAGACAAATTACAATGATGTGTCGAACCTGAGGGTGACCTACAATATTTACACAGCTGTCCATGTTATAGCTAAAGCTCTGCATGACCTGAACACGTGCAGTGAAGGGAAAAGTCAGTTTGCAAATGGAACATGTGCGGATATTTGGAAATTTAAGCCCTGGCAGGTACTGAACATTTTAATATAAGCCGAGGTACAAGAATGATTATTATGTTATTATGTTTAACCTGTTAAGGACCAGCGTGCTTACAATTAATTTTCTCCCAACTGACTATACCTTTTCTGTAATATTTGTTATGTTTATATTTCCTTTTTTTAATATATGATACAATCATACATACTATATATCATTTTTCAATAGAGCATCTGTATGATTTTATTAATATTGACATAACTTATTTTTATGAAGCACACTTCCTGGGATAATCATAAGGGGTATTCTAACACCAGCTAAAATATTTTGTAACCAAAAAAACAAACAAGAGTCCTGCACATCCAGTATAGGTGTGCACACTCAGGTGCTACCTCAATTTATTTGAGGACAAAGTTCAAACAGCAAAGGTTTCGAGCAGCAGCCCTTTCTCAATGCTAATGTCCTGGGACTTCAGTGTGGAGTATCTGCAGCAGAGGTCTAACTTGTTCTTTTTATATTTTGAATTTTGTAGGCATTTTTTGCCTCTACCTCATCCTATATATAGCGATCACTAAAATATTTTGTAAGCCTATATTTATTTTTTAAGACAATGTCATTCTTTTGCTGTGTATTTCTTTAGCCCGATGTATGGTATCGCAGTAAAAAATAAGTGCTAAGATACTTCTTATCAATACCTTTAAAAGGATTAGATAATGTTTTACAGGGTAAAATTTAGAGAACTGCTCATTCCAGTTTATAAACATCAAGTTTCCACTTATGCGAAGGGACTTTCAGCTAAACTTCAGCTCCAGGCAGCGAGGAGCTTCAGTTGAAAGTGCTAAAAAAATAACTCATGGGACTGCCTCAGCACTCCCCCTCTCCTCTGACACGAGAAAACACAGAGTGAGTTGTTTCTAGGAAAATAATTTAAAAAAATAAACAAATAAAAACACACACAGTCACCAATGAATACATAGAAATAGAAATTAATTAATAATTCATATTTTTAATTATGTAATTTTTTTAAAATAATGTAATGGCAAAGCATGCATTAGAATAAATATAACGGCATCTCAAGGTTTTGGAGACATTGATCCTTAATTCAAGCTATGTGATGTACTAAGATTTTTCCAGAATCCCTCAAAAGTATTATTTTGCAATAATAAAGGGTCTCACCGTAATGTATCCTAATGTAATGTATCCTAATTGCATACAATTATGCCATGTGCTTTTGTAACTATGCAGATCTTCAAAACTTTATTCCAGTATTAGATAACATACTAAGCAGCGTTGCTGATGCTAAATAACAAGTATATTTCATATTGCAAAGCTGTGTTATACATCAGACTGTGAGGATAACACATTTAGCCATTAAATCATTAAAAAACAAACATGACTGTGTGAATATCTGTGTGTATGGGGAGGAATGTGTGCACATGAGCATCACTGGCTCCCAACTTAGAATTGAGTGTATGACATACATAGAACGCACTTAAAGTGGATCTGACACGTTTCAGAATTTCATAAGGATATAATTTTTATTAGATAATGATTAAGACTGCATTGCAATTTAATTGAAATCCCAACACAAGTCAAATATGCTATAAGACAAAGCAGGGACTATTTTGTCTTATGGTAAAGCCTGGTGTTGACAAAAGTTGGCAAAAGGCATAGATCTGCCATCAACCTTTGTCCAATCTCAGCTTTTTGTCAATATTGGCCATGGGATTCAGGCTGTCTATGGAGGATCCTGTGATCTTGGGGGATCCTCCATAGACCTCAGTGTGGAATGCATGTGTAAGAGTACAATACTGACCTAGCAACAGGATTGCCAGTGACCAAAGAGGACCTAGGGCAATAAAATGATGGCAATCATGAGTGACAGCCTGAGGTAAGTAAAACTCACCTGTCATGCACCCCAGAGCCACTGACACACATCAAAGTTCTCCATTTTAGGGGTCTTTGCAAAATATATTTTCAAAACATAATTGATAGATGTGCATTAAAGGATCACTATAGGGTCAGGAACACAAACATATATTCCTGACCCTATAGTGTTAAAACCACAATCTAGTCCCCCTGGGCCCCTCATGCCTCCATAAATATAGCAAAACCTTACTGTATTCAAGCCAGAAACTGTAGTTCTGCATGCTGTTTGACTCAGAAAAACAAGTAGTCTGCTGACATCATCAGAAGTGGTAGCCTGATCCAATCACAATGCTTCCCCATAGGATTGGCTGAGACTGAAAAATGTGGCAGATCAGGGGCAGATCCAGCACAATTCAAACACAGCACTGGCCAATCAGCATCTCCTCATAGATATGAATTGAATCAATGAATCTCTATGAGGAAAGTTCAGTGTCTGCATGCAGAGGGAGAAGATACTGAATGATTGGATGCATTTTAGGAAGCCATGATCCAGGAAGAATCTCTAACAGCTATCTGAGGAGTGGCCAGTGAAGTTATCACTAGGCTGAAAAGACAGTGTTTACAGCAAAAAGCCTGAAGGTAATAATTCTACTCACCAGAACAAATTCAATAAGCTGTAGTTGTTCTGGTGACTATAGTGTCCCTTTAAAGATCTTGGCCATGTTGAAAATATTTCATCTAATATCACATGTAGACCATATTGCAACATATTGAACTAGATTTCAATAATATTATATTTCATTTTGAAAATGGCATATATCCAAGAAGTGGGGATACATGTAATATGTATTACTTATACTGTATAATAATAATTCTATTGCCAATTTTGTAACATCACCCATTTAACAACATTCTGCATCCAAACCTAAGTTCTGGGGGCTATTGGAACCCTCATAATTAAAAAATAATAATAATACTTGAGTAGCTGCTTATAATTTACTACTTGTCCTTTAAGACACTCAACCTAATTTGGAGGACTACAAGTAAAATTTAGTTTGTACCTAACTGCCCTAGTCTCAACCTTTTACTGCACCTTAAAGGCTAACTAAATTCATTGCAGTCAGATGCCAGTGAAATTGTTTTCCCTGAAGGTATTCTTGGCCATTTCAGCAGAAATTCAGCTTTAAGATAAAATTGTTTTTTCCAATATTTGCTGTTTAGATCTATTAGCAAGTAAACATACATGGCTTCTGTTTTCTCTGTACAGCTTTTGCATTACATGAAGAGAGTGCGTTTTAGAATGAGCAGTGGAAGAGAGTTGTTCTTCGATGAAAATGGAGATCCTCCTGCACTTTATGACATCATGAATTGGCAACTTGGCCCAGATGGAAATATCAGAAAGGTGAAAGTGGGCAATTATGATACCGCTGCGGACAGTGGAAATATTTTTACTGTCGACACAAATATCATTCAGTGGGGAACAGGTGAAAAACAGGTGAGAGAGCAAAGAGAGCAAGAATGTGTGGAACATTTTTAATTAAAATTTTTGATAAGAGTGTATTCCAACATTCAACAGTAATCTCAGTTGCAATGCCACAGTTCTCCTCTGTTTCTCCACAAACTTTAAGAATGGAGAGCACTTGCGATTGTTGAAACGTATTTTTGTAGAAAACCTCACACAGATACAAAAACAGATGAATAAAGGAGCTGTGCACTAGCTTAATTAAAGGTCACTATAAGTTTGAGTGTTCTCTCTTTTTTTAAAGTTTTTCTATACTACTCAGCCCTGCTCATTCTTACCTTTTATGTATTTTCGATTATCTATGAGAATTGTTTATTATGAGGTCATAAATAAATGTTCAAATAAATGATACTTTTGGTGCTATCAGGGTAGAACTCCATGAGAATTTGGCTATTTACCCTGTGACTAACTTACCTTTGAAAGATTCCTTATTCTACACAAAACACTGAGAATCTACGTAGCGGAACTCCAATACCTAGCATAGGTATCTCCGCTGTTCAGTCCTCATAGCTAAAAGAAACAGTGTAATACTCCAAGACTCTTCCCCCCAGCAACTAGACGACACATAGGTCTGGGAGTCAACTGATTTTATTTTGGCCACACATGACTTTTATACACAGACCCCTACATGCGTTCTCTTATTAAAAAATACAGGGTTTTACCTTCTGAGATCCTCTGTGCCTGAGAGATAATTGCATGAGAAAAATATATAACTCAATTATTTCTCAGGCACAGAAAAAACGATAATATTTAAAAACACCCCAAAAATACATTGTAATACTTCAGAACCCCATTAAAGTTATATCACCGAATAGCTTGGATCTGAGCACACACTTTGACTAAAAATCACTCAGATCCCTTTAGTGGTTCGGGAATGCTATTCAAATGACATTTTGACTGGTCAGCCACAAGGTGATGCCCCCAAAAAGTTCAAGAGTCAGTATATATTAATGAAGATCCTATGGAAAAAAATATGCAAATGATTGCTGCAAAAAAACTTGCAGATAACTTGTGATTGGATGACTCGAGACAAGTTGCTATAGCAGTTACACAAACATGTGTTCTTGACCCTACAGTGTTAAAACCACCATCTAGCCACCCTGTCCCACTCATGCCTCCCTGAAAATAGTAAAATCTTACGTGTATTCAAGCCTGAAGTTGTAGCTCTGCATGCTGTTTCCCTCAGAAAAACAAACTGTCTGCTGACATCATCAGAAGTGGTGGCCTGATCCAATCACAATGCTTCCCCATAGGATTGGCTGAGACTGACAAGGAAGCAGATCGGGGCAGAGCCAGCATGATTCAAACACAGCCCTGGTCAATCAGCATCTCTTCATAGAGATGAATTGAATCAATTAATTTCTATGAGGATAGTTCAGTGTCTGCATGCAGAGGGAGGAAAGACTGAATGTTTGGATTCATTTTAGGCAGCCATGACCCAGGAAGGATCTCTAACAGACATCTGATGAGTGGTCAGTGAAGTTATCACTAGGCTGTAATGTAAACACTGCATTTTTATAGCAAAAAGCCTGAAGGTAATGATTCTACTCACCAGAACAAATTCAATAAGCTGTAGTTGTTCTGGTGATTATATTGTCCCTTTAATGTAAATAAAGCTCTGGGGCCTGACGGTATTCACCCACGAGTACTTAAGGAGCTAAGTGGGGAAATAAGTGAACCTCTGTATTTAAATTTCCAAGATTCGTTTGTTTCAGGGGTTGTACTGGAGGATTGGAGGAAGGCAGATGTTGTTCCTATATTTAAAAAAGGTTCAAAATCCTTGCCTGGAAATTATAGACCTGTGAGTTTAACTTCTGTGACTGGGAAAATGTTTGAAGGGCTATTAAGAATTCATTGGGAATAACTTTATTATCAATAATCAGCATGGTTTTATGAAACATAAGTAATGTCAAACTAACCTAATTGCATTCTACGAAGAATTAAGTGAAGTATAGATCAGGGTGTTGCAGTGGATGTGATCTACTTGGATTTTGCCAAGGCATTTGATACGGTTCCTCACAACAGGTTAGTCTTAAAACTAAAAGAAATTGGTCTAGATGAATATTCTTGTTCTTGGGTAGAACATTGGCTTAAGGATAGAATTCGAGTTGTCATTAATGGTAAATTTTAAGGATGGACAAAAGTGGTAAGTGGTGTTCCTCAGGGTTCTGTTTTGGGACCGCTTCTATTTAACATACGAGAAGGATACCACATACCACACATGAAAAGGATTTGTGAATTGTCATAGACAACAAATTAGGGAGCAATATGCAAAGTCAATCAGCAGTTGCTAAGGCCAGTAAGGTTTTGTCATGTATTAATTGGGGCATAAAT